GTCAGCTCATTGTCGTGCCTGACGTGGCGCGGCGTCAGTTTTAGCTTTTTTTTACCAGCTGCAAAGAGCACAGAGCACAGACAGAGAAGAGACATGCAATGAATGAAGCCACTTGAAGCAATAACAGTGCACTGTCAACTAACGGAGCCACAGATACAGATACAGATACAACGACAACTGAAGCTACAGCTCCAGATACAGATATCCAGATGCAGATACATATAAAGCACGCGGAAGCTGACAGCTCACGACTGCAAGATACTCTGTATTCAGAGAAAAGAGAATACAGATACAGATACAGATACAGATACAGATACAGATACAGATACAGATACAGATACAGATACAGATACAGATACAGATACAGATACAGATACAGATACAGATACAGATACAGATATAGATACAGATACAGATACAGATACAGATACAGATACAGATACAGATACAGATACAGGTACAGATACAGATACAGATACAGATACAGATACAGATACAGATACAGATACAGATACAGACACAGATACAGATACAGATACAGATATAGATACAGATACAGATACAGATACAGATACATATACAGATACAGATACAGATACAGATACAGATACAGATACNCATACACATACACATACACATACACATACACATACACATACACATACACATACACATACACATACACATACACATACACATACACATACACATACACATACACATACACATACACATACACATACACATACACATACACATACACATACACATACACATACACATACACATACACATACACATACACATACACATACACATACACATACACATACACATACACATACACATACACATACACATACACATACACATACACATACAGATACAGATATCATATATCATATATCATACAGATATCATTCAGCAGTTTTAGTGAGTGTATATACTCTCTAACAATTTTAGTATAACAAGCCATAGCATATTGCAATGCGAACTATTCGTAACTGGGGGTCATTCTGCCAGCACTGGCAATATGAAGACGTATGACAGCTGGGCCAACGCAGGCCTTCGTCTGCTGATGATGATGTACTAGGAGTGAATGAGAGAGAGAGAGAGAGAGAGAGGCAGATAGACAGGATGATGGAAAGAGGCAGGGAGTGTGTCGGAGCCCTGTGACGGGCTGGTTGGCCGGCTGTCATACACTTTTAGCCTTTTGAAGTAATTTGCAGTTGCTATTTTCTGTTTTGTAATTGCTTATTAATGTCATTGTGCTCTCGGGCCTGGGCCAGCGGATGGGCACAGGGCTCTGCCATAGCTTCACTTGAAAATGTTTTTAACAAATTTATGCTAATGTGATTTTGCAATTAAAATGCTGCACAATGATTCCAACGAACCAGTGATGGGACATGAACTATTTGTTGCTAGCGAGAGGGGCGTAATGCATAAGTGCGAGGCGATTTATAATGGCTCTGGCTGTGTCTCAGACGCAACACGATCAACATTTATTCACATCCGCATTATGATCGGCGCGCGGCATGAGCTCTTAAATCATTTTACCATATGTACAAGCTCTACAAGTCTGTGAGTGTTTCGATATTACAAGACCGTCCCCAGTCGTCCCCAATCGTCCCCAGCCGTCAATTCATCTATCTTCAACGCTGATTCAGACGCCAACCCAGTTCCCTTAAAAGAATCGCCGACAAATGATGATGTAGTTATTGGCGGTGCCGGGGAGATAGCTCTCTGATGCCCAGACATTGGTTTTAGCATTTGGCATAACGGGCTGTCAGAGATTAGTTGCTTTTCCCATTCGCACCATGGTTGAATTGGGGGCAAATCAGGCGAATAATATGAGAGAGTCGCTCAAGTGCGCTGTTATCGAAGCTATCGATTAATCAACTTGTTTCTGTTCTTTTTTATGAAGAATGTGCAGAAAGTGGATCGAAATGATGTAAATAAATGTAAATAAAGTTGTGTGATTTAGAAAATTTATAAAATACAAATACAAAGTCAACAGTAAAATGTATTTATTTGTATAATATTATATAATATTCTGTATAATAATTTAATGAAATAGCTTAAATTTATTTAAATTAAAAAAAAAAAACAAGGAAGTGCATTTATACAAATTCAAATTTGTAACTAATATATTTTTTACCAAATTATTTAATTATACGAATTCTAAAATTACATTTGCCTTGATTCGGAATATATATCGCCGTAGTTAGAACTAATCCTATTCAAGATATATATCCACTTCGCTGCCAGCTTTGCCCACTGTAAGATCCCGTCTGATTTACTGTAGCACGTTTACGTTTTCTTTCCATTTGATGTCTCTGTCTGGCCTTTTGATCTTGCTGCACCAGGGCAAAAGGCTCTCTTTTTGTATCTTTTAGTTTGTCTTGTCGTTTTTAGTGGCTTAATGACTTCTATTGCAGAATATGAGAAATGTTTGGCAGCATCCAGTTCGCATTGGGCAGCCTACAGATGGGCCTACAGAGAAATCTGTATAGATTCGTGTGCTGTAGCGATTTATATGCGGAGTCCGTGTGTTAAATATTTAACGATTTGTACTTTATTTATACGTTTGTCATAAATTACTTTAATATTTAAAATGCACATTGCTCTCGTTTGGGCGCACATACCATCACCATCACCATCACCATCAGCTTCGGCATCGGCATCGGCATCGGCATCAGCAGGCACATCAAGTGGCAGCCATCACATGCAATGTGAGAAATCATGCATAAAAATTTATTATGTTCAAGCGCATGTTGCAACATCATGTTGCATGTGCCTGCGCTCTGCCCAGCGCTCCTGCCCCTCCTTCTGCCAGTGCTTGCGCCAGCGCCTGTGCCTGCAACCATCATAATAATATCAATGGCACAGGCAAAAAATGTTTCTGCACAGAAAAAAGGAATCAAATCATATATGCAAACAGTAAACGAGATTTATAACGAAGTTGCCATGCACTTTACAGAATGAATTCATCACAATAATGATAAGTAACCGAAAAGTTAACGCAAGCTGTTTTATTAATGTAACTTTCTTAAAATACTTTACAGAAATTATAATATTATTTGCGCTATGAAATAATAATAGTTTGCGTAAATATTGTTAAGTTTTTTAATCAAGTTTCAATTTCAGCTTTCAATGAAATAAATTAAAGGAGCCTTAAAA